TGCTCAGCCATCCATCCATCCTGCACGGACCCATCCACCTCTTCACGTCAGGCTCTCCTCCAGAATATACCTCTGGCAGATCCCTCTACCATGGGTGGGTGTACTGAGGGGCCGTGACCTGGTCTCTGTCTGCTCCAAGTCCATCCCACCATCAGGGGCCCTGGTGAACAAGAAGACTGGGACTTAGACTCCACACTCTGGGGAATCCTATTCTGTGGGTTGCTAGAGGTACCGCCAGGCGGTGCATTACAGACCCATATGGCCTGCCTGACCATTCCACCTCTCCAGCCCTGACTACGCCTGTGTTCCCACATATTTCTGGTCATACCCGGATCCCTGACACACAAGCAAGGTGAATGGAAGAATCCCACCACTGGGACACTGTATTTGGACAGCAGGACTCACCACTGTAAGAATACACTGATCAGCGGCTGCAGTCACTGACTGACAAATGTTTTCCAGCATGTCCTTTTGACAGTAGTCAAGCAAACAAACAGGGTTGGCCACACATTTATCAAAATGCATCCGGTCCCTGCTGAACCATACAAATTTTGATATATTGGCCAGATTAATACATATTGTGGTAGTGGTATGACAATATCCTTACAACAACATAAAGTGACTTAAAGTCCCAAACAAACTCTATTGAAAATTGAAGAAACTAAACTCCTTACAGCAAAGCTCTCCCGGGTGTGTTACACAGAGGTATGCATCATTCCAGCTAGCTGCATGTTTAGAAAATGACAATGACTGTTATGTGTGTCCACCCATGCTGGTATAAAACAGAAAGGGCTTTGCTGTAAGGAGTTCAGTATCTTGCTCGCTTTGTCACTGCATAAGCTGATGCTGAGGACAGACAGGTAGCCCACAACTCTACTGGATACACAGGAAATAGGGGCTTATTTGTTGGAGTCTGCCCTGAACTCAACTGAAAAGTGCAACATTTGGAGCAATACCCATCCTAAGGACAATTGGAGATATATCTTAAGTAGAGCCTAGGATTGGGAATCTATCCATTATCTGTTTGCCCAGAGCTTTGTGACTACCCATCTGGGGTCAATATCCTTTGTTCCTTGGATCAGCATGCCTAATTAGGAACCAGGAGACCCATTCCATGGGAGCTTGCAGTTGGATATCTACACATTGCATGACCATAGAGCGTTATTTGACCACCTTAACAGGGGTCAACAATTTATGGTGAGTGAGGAATTCATCTATTGCCCACACGTGGTGGAAAAGAAAATTTCTTTGATTTATGGGATACCTTCCTATGGGAATGATATTCACTATCTATATTCAATATATTTTGTTTGGGACTTTAAGTCACTTTATGTTGTTGTGAGAGCATTTTTGTTATTATTGTTATTATTTGTTACATGGTTTATTGAATAAGCACCTACCTATTCACGATTTCTCCTCACTTCCTGTTCTGGTGACATCATTTTACCAGACAGGAAGTGGGGGAAACAACAACACAAACAGATTTTTTTAACATAAGTAAGGGAATGTTAGAACGTCTGTCAGCTTTTTTTTGTTGTCTGTTTCCCCATTCCCCATTGTAGATTTCCCTCTCAGTTCTTGTCACAAAAGTTTTTTGTAAAAAAAAAAACAAATCCCCAAACTTTACTTAAAGCAGTATTAATCACTTAAGGACCACCTCAATGTACTGTGGATGTGTGGCAGCTAAGGATCAATATATTGATCACAAACAAAACTATACTAGTGCTTCCATAATATAGTGTCCCCAAAAAGGCAGTGTTAGCAGGATCAGCCCCATTCACTGCCATTGCTAGCATTTAGCCCCTCCACTGTTTTTCATGGAAGATTTGTATCGACTGATTGTGGGCTAAAGCAATTTATACAATACATTGCGTTCCTTCCAAATTTAGTCACACAACTCGCATGGAACTCGCATTATCACGGTTTCTGAATTTAAAACATTTTTGGGCCTAACCCTCAATGTGGGCATTACAAATAATAATGAATTGCAGTCATATTGGTCCACATACCTGATTCATCATATGCCCATGTTCTCTGCTGTTACATATATGCACAACAAGGACCAGCAACATATTGGTACATCACTGGAGATTGAGTGGTTATACCAGGATAAAGCCTGCAGCTACAGGCATCATCCTGGTATTGTTTTTTTTTTTCAGCTGGCAGTTGCATTTCATACAAATGCAATCCTAGTGGCTGCTGGATCACTTTTACAAGCAGCAGAAAGGGATGTCCTCCCCCCTTCTGCCACCTTCAAAGGCTATCTCAGGCTCTCCCATCCCACTGGGAAACCCAAGAATGCAGCCTGCTGTTCCACAGGTTGACCATACAGCTGATCAGAGACTGGAATGGCTCCAATCATCCCTATGGTCCAAGAAACAGGAAGCAATATCATTTTATTTTTGTCAGATATAAACAGTTCCATATTAAAACTGGAAAAATCTTGGTGTGATAAGATGCTTTAAGGGCAGAGGAGATATCCAGAGTCTAATAGACTCTAGATTTCTCAGAAAAGAGTACCTGTCACTGCCTATTGCTACCACAGGGGATATTTACATTCCCTGTTATAACAATAGAAGTGATAAAAAAAAAATGAAAGGGATAGTGTAAAAATAAAAAAAAAAAAAATATATAATAAAAAAAAAGTCACCCAACCCCTCCCCATGATCGCTTGCAAAGTCAAAGCGTCAGTCCCATGTCGGTATGTAAACAGAGATTGCACCATGTATGTGCGGTATCACCACGAACATCAGATCAATGGCAGTAATGATAGCACTAGATCTTCTGTGTAAACTAAAGTGGTAACCTGTAAAGGTTTTTAAAGCATCGCCTATGGATATTAAAAATGTTCATAGTTTGTCTTTGTTGCACTGACGTGCACAATTTTAAAGCATGACATGTTTGGTATCTATTTACTTGGCGTAAAATTATATGTTATACTTTATCAAACAATTGGGCAATATATTGTGTTTGTTTGCAATAAAATTCAAAAAAAATTTTTCCAAAAATTTGCTTTTGAAAAATCACTGCACAAATACTGTGCGCCATAAAAAATGTCACACCCGCTGTTTTATTCTCTAGAGTCTCTGCTTTACAAAAAAATATAATTATAGAAATATAATTTAGGTGTCTACTTTCCAAAAAGGGGTCATTTGTGGGGGAGGTGCTTCTACTATCCTGACATTTCAGGACCTCCGAAACTGTGATAGGTAGTGAGGAAGTGACAAGAGGAAATATGTCTTTGAAAGCCTGAAAGTGGCCATTGGATTTTGAAGGACCTGTATGTGGCTAGGCTACAAAAAAGTCTCTCACGTGTGGTATGCCCATACTCGGGAGAAGTAGCAGAATGTGTCTTGGGGGGTTATTCTACATATTCCCATGGCATGTGTGAGCAATATATCATTTAAGTAACAACTTTGTGTAAGAAAAAGAAACCTATCATTTACAAAAATTAGTGGCAAAAATAAATCTTCCATGGATTCAACATGCCTCTCAGGAAAATTTATTGGGGTGTCTACTTTCCAAAAAGTGGTCATTTTGGGGGGTTTTGTACCGCCCTAGCATTTTAGTACCTCAAGAAATGTGACAGGCAGTCAAAAAGTAAAAGATGCAAAAATTGCAATATATATATGTTATAATTTAACCGAGAAAAAGTCAATTAGCACAGCCAAACCAATATAATAGTGCTATATAAACAATATTGCAAGCTAACCCCAATTAAACTCACCACACTTAATTTGCATAAATTATTGACCTTTCTGGTAAGGCAGGGATCATAGCTTTGAGGTGAGAAGCTCACTTTAATGGTGGTGGAGACATGGAGCACATTGATTAATTTTTTTGGAGCACAGTGGTGGTTACAAGAGTAGCATTGCAATATCCATATGAACTGTTTAGATTTTTTTGCACTTTATTGATTTATGTGTGGTTTTGGTGCACAGTATATATGTGTATAGCGGAGTATCACATTAATTAGTATTGTTTATAACAAAGTTTTTTGCATTATTCATTTTCTATAAATGATGTTGTGCTGCCCTAGTTTAGTAATCATATATCATAATTTGTAGACACTATAACTTTCACACAAACCAATTAATATACATGTATTGGGATTTTTTGTACCAGAGACATGAAGCAGAATACCTTTTGGCATAAATTTATGACTGAATTTGAGTTTATTGAATATTTTATATACTGTAACAGAAAGTAGAAAATATAAGGATTTTTTTCAAAATTTTGGGTCTGTTTCATTTATATCACAAAATTTAAAAAACCCAATAGTGATAAAATACCACCAAAAGAAAGCTCTGTTTTTGTAAAAAAAAGGACATAAATTTAATTTGGGTGCAGCGTTACTTGACCATGCAATTACCAGCTGAAATAGCGCAGTGCCAAATAGCAAAAAATAGCCAGGCCAGGAAGGGGGGAAAACCTTTCGGGGCTGAAGTGGCTAAACCTTAAAACTAAAATGTAATATATTGCAGCTTTAAAACTCTTAATGATAGTAGTGCAGAGTGTATTCCAGACAGCTGCCCTGCCTATCAGTGCAGTCCAGCTAGGACCCAGTTGTTGCTGTATCTGTATAGTTACTGCATTTTTACTGGTGGAATGAGGCACTGTATACCAACCACTATGGCTCCTTGTGCTTAGAACCAAATTACTAGCAGAAACTCGAGTCATTCGTTTTAGGCATAATGATGTACAGAGTTGGTAGTCTGTCTTTTTTGTCCTCTCTGCCTTCTGTGGCTATGGTGTATGATCTTGTTAGTGTGATAGTGTGATACAAAGGATAGCCAGTTGCCTAGGGTAAGACATAAGCTAGTTGGCTTATTGGGGCAAGAAGTACAAATCTAGTCATGAAGATACATGAAACAATATTTTAAAACCTTCATATACAATATGAGAGTAATATTAAAACACTTATCCATTGGTGTGGCATAGTGAATGTTCACACTGGTTTAGCAAATAAAGTGAAAGTGGAGGTTCAGTCAAAATAAAAAAAAAATAAAATAAAAAAAAAACCTGTAGCTTCTGACTTTTAAAAAACAGACACTCACCAGTTCCTCGATCCAGCTGTTTGTTCACACTGGCTGACTTCATCGGCCATCCTGTGTCCCCAGCACTGGCATCTTTAGTGTGGACACTCGGCTGTGACAGTCTTGTGGCTTCACAGCCAGGTGCCTACTGCACATGCGTGAGTAGCACTCCATTTTCTGAATGGTCCCATAGTCTTCTGGGACCAGTTACATGTCCCAGAAGACTATGGATGGGGGTAAGGACAACTTATGCTTGTGGGAGCAGGCAGGGGCGGACTGACCGCTCATGGGGCTCCCGGGGCAATAGGGGATCATGGGGGCCCCTGGTGTTCTGCCCAAACTCAAAAAAGCCTATGAAAAAGGTACCAGGGGCATCTCATGGGGGCCCCTACTGAGCCCGGGCCCTCGGGCAGTGCCCTAGTTTCCAAATGGTCAGTCCACCTCTGGGAGCGGGTACTGTCAAAAAAGCGGGTAACCTGCTCCCCAAAGGCACCAATCCTTAATGGGGAGCTGGGGACAAAGCTTTAAAGCGGTACTTCCTCTTTTAGGTAGAGCTAAACTTTAAGCTCTGTTCACTTATCATACAATCACACAGCCAAAAATCCTTTTACACATCACTGGGTATTTAATATAAACAAAGTTTAATTGTCCATCCTAAGCTATGTGACCATTTATTCAACTAAGGCAGTGTTTCTCAACTCCAGTCCTCATGGACCCCCAACAGGTCATGTTTTCAGGATTTCCATTATTTTGCACAGGTGATTTGATCAGTTTCACTGCCTTAGTAATTACCACAGCTGTTTCATCTGAGGGAAATCCTGAAAACATGACCTGTTGGGGGTCCATGAGGACTGGAGTTGAGAAACACTGAACTAAGGTAACATACACTTTGCTAAATGAAGTCTCCACTCTTTTAGTCAAAAAAGCAAAAAGCATATTTGATTAATGCTACATTTCCTAAAAGTCTTTGTTTATTTATGGAATAGATCTAGCAATGTGACAACTGCCTAGGGCTGTTCAAATGCTAGCTGTTATTATTTATTTTAGAACAAACTCACATTTGAGCTGTTTAAAAATCATTAAAAACAAGGCCACATTTTACAATGTCCTTTGGTTTACCTAAACAAGTAAGATTACTCAGCCAAAACTAAGGAAAACATAACTAAAATCCCAATGAAATAAAAAGCTATTTACAAATAAACCTCATGATTTGCCCCTCCTCACATTGCCCCAGGCACAGTATAAATATAAGTAATCTGAGAAGTTTGGCCATATATTTACTTTGACATAGACAGGTACTTTTGGTTTTAAATTTCTTCAGCTTATTATACAGTATACTTTTGTCCTTTGTGCTTTTTGCAAAAGGAACTTTGTATGACACATGTATGACCACAAATCTAATTTATTTAGGCATTTCAATGGTACTTTAGAATTTAAATGTTTGTAAAAATGTACTAAAATTTCTTAAAAATACCATAAAGCTGTAAAAATTTTATTTTTTTTCTACAAACTTACCTGTAAAATCCATTTCTTGGAGGACATCACAAGAAGGTTATTCATGACTATGTGAGTTATAGGCCACCTATAAGTGAAAGGACACTGGCCGACCAATCAGAGAGGAGTTCCTCCCCTATATAATCCATCCTATACAGGAAGTACCTCAGTTTTTGTAGCAAGCAATGACGTTCCATAAAGAGGGGTGGGACCTCTGTATCCCATGATGTACTCCAAGAAATGGATTTTACAGGTAAGTATGTAGAAAAAATCCAATTTTCTTTATCGTACATCTCAGGACACAGAGCAGACTATTAATTGGCTATGTGGGATGTCCCAAAGCAATATGAAATTTGAGAGAAGGGTGACACCATGATAGCCACCGTCAATAATCCCTCAGGACCTACTCAGCCATCCGTAAAACACTGCAGCCAAAGGTAGAATCCTCTGACATCCACCTGGTAGAATCTTGTGAATGTGTGAATCAAAAACAATGTAGCAGCCTTGTAAACCTGAACCACTGACGCCTGATGGTGGATTGCCCAAGATGTCCCCACACTCCTAGTGGAGTGTGCCTTCACCCGGAAGGGGGAAACTTTACCTTTCAAACCATAGCCTTGAATGATCAGTTGGCGGATCCAGTGAGAAATAGTCACCTTGGATGCCACCTTGGACCCTCTGGCAGCACAAATAGAGCATCTGACCTCCTGCCCTGTGCTGTCACCTTCAAGAAGACCCTAACAGCATGAACCACATTCAAGGTATGCAGAGATCTTTCTCTTGCTGACTGAGACCTAGGAAATAATTAAAGGCAGAACTATGTCCTGAGAAAGGTAGACACCAACTTTGGTAAAAAGCACACATGAGGTCACAACACCACCTTATCATGATGCAAAACCAGAAATGGTTCTCTGCAAGACAGAGCTGCCAACTCTGACACCCTTCTCCCAGAAGTGCCACTAGAAACAACACCTTATGAGTCAACAGGACCAGTGGAATATCTCCAATAGGTTCAAATGGTGGCTTTTGCAAAACTTCCAAAACCAAGTTCAGATCCCAAGGACACAAAGGCAACCTGACAGGAGAAGCTATACACATCACTCCTTGCAGAAAAGTGCAGAACAAAGAATGATATTTAATGGGCTTCTGTAAAAAAATAGCTAATGCTTAAACCTGGCCCTTAATGGTGCCAACAGCCAAATTCTTCTGCAACCATGTTTGACAAAACAACAGAATTCTGCCAATTACATACTTTCATGGGTGCCATTTGTAAACCTCAAACCAGGCAATGTAAGCCTTCCAGGTTCTGTAATAAATGTTCCTAGAAACTTCCTTTCTAGCACCCAACATGATGGGGATGACAGAATCTAATACTCCCCTATCCTTCAGGATCTGGGCTTCAAGCTTCAATAGCCATGCCATCAAATTTAGTGACCGTAAATCTGGTTGCAATATAGGACATTGAGACAACAGGTCTGGCCGATATAGCAGGGCCCATGGCCTGTCTAATGCCATCTTCACTATGTTCACTTACCAGGCCCTCTTGGGCCAGGCTGAAGCAATCAGTATCACCGAAATAGACTCATCCTGAATACTGTGTAAGAGACAGCAGCTGGATCGGATTCTTTCTAGTTCCAAAGAAGCACAAAGGTGTCTACCTCTGCCATGCAAGGGCCCCTTACCCTGGACACAAAAATACTGACCTTGTTGTTGACCCTGGATGCCAATAAATCTACATCTGGACAACTCTGTCACTGGCAGACTTCCTGAAAACATCGGGATGCAAAGCCCATTCCCTTGGAATCAACTGCCAGTGACTGAGATAATCCGCCGGAAAAATTTTTCACACCTTGAAGCAACACTGCTGGCAGACTTGGAACATATCTCTCTGCCCAGGTCAGAATATAATTCACCTCTTTCTGAGCACCTTGACTCCTGGTACAGTCAGGGTGGTTGATGTATGCTACTGCTGTGGCATTTTCGGACTTAATCCCTGCAGGCCAACCCTGAAGACTGGATGTCCAATATCTCAGTGCCAGCTTCACTGCTTGAAGTTCCAGGACATTGATGGGAAGAACCCTTTCCCGTGGAAGCCATGTTCCTTGAACTGTGACCTCCTCTAGAATAGCCCCTCAACCTGAAAGGCTGGCATCGGTTGTTATCTACTTCCACACCACTGGCCAAAAGGATTGTCCCTTCTCCCAATTGTGAGTTATAAACTACCAATTCAGGCTCTGCTACTGCTACACCTCTGGAGAAAGAGTTATGCAGTAATCCAGGACCGGTATCTTTGGGTTCCAAACAGACAGAATGTACCTTTGCAGAAGTCTGGAGCGGAATTGGGCATAGGGAATAGCCTTGAACGAGAACACCATCTTCCCCAGCAACCAGAGGCAGAAATACCATTGCCTGGACCGTGTCTAGGGCCATACCCAAATACTCCAGGCTCTGCACTGGTTCCAGGGCTGACTTCTTGAGGATGAGCACGCAGCCCAGCTGTTCCAGGATCTGGAAATGCTGAGCTCCTTCCACAAACCACAGAAATATTTGGTGCAGAATGAATATTGGTACATGCAGGTATGCGTCCTTGATGTCTCTGGATACTAAAAAGTTTCTTTCCTGTAGGGAGGCCACTATTGACTGAACCAATTCCATACAAAATGATCGGACATTTAGGAACTGATTTAGCACCTTGAGGTCCAAAATGGGCCTTACATCTCATTTGGTTTTTGGACTATAAACAGGTTTGAATAAAACCCCTGAAGCCTTTCGCCTGCTGGAACCTCTGTGATTACTCCTTGAGCCAATGGGCAATCGAGTGACTGAAATAAAACTCTTCTTTTCCCTGAATTTATTGGTACATTTGATCTTAAAAACCAGGGAGAGGGAAATACCCAAAATTCCAGTCTGTACCCCAGAGAAATCGTGGAAATTACCCATTTGTCTTAGAGTAGAGTCCTCCATGCAGCCACAAATTTCAAAAGCCTTCCCCCCACCCGAACAAGTGGGGGCATCCCTTCATAAGGAGGCAGACTTTGGATCTATCTTAGATAACTTCTGCACTCAGGGTCTCCTTGGGTTTTGATTCTGAGATCTACCCCTGGAGGCTGGGACTTGTGTGTGGCAAAACAACTGCCTGGTAGATGAGGGCCCAGCAACTGAAGCCCCTGACACCTTAAAAGAAAAGCATTTGGATTTCCTCTTAGAGGGTAGAAGAGTACTTTTACCCCCTGAAATCTTATATTTATATAGGATATATAGAGGATATATTTGACCCCTAATGTCACTTATGGACCCCAGTGAAGCTCCTTTTCTAGCCATAAAGCCCAAGGAATGGCAGCTGTGAACAAGGAAGTGACAAAATGCTTTTTGCTTCACTGTTCATTCACTGGAGGGGTGATCAGTGAGTGGATGTTCGATGATTGTCCTAGTCCATTTTCTGAGTTCACAGAATCCCAGAATACAAGGCAGGAAAGATAGGTTGTAGGGCAGCATCCACAGTATCTGTGGAAGTAATTGGATAGCTCTACAGCCACACAAACAGTTTCTAAGAGAAAGCCAACAGCTTAACAGTAGTAAGCACAATCTTGGGTGCTATAACAGCTGAGAGTGGTTTTAAAAGCCTGGGCTATCAGCATTTATAAATAGTGGTAGTAGACAAGTGAATAAACAAATACAAACAGTATCCTTAAAGTAAAATTAATGGCTAAAATTTTATTTGACCCCTGACTCCTGTCAACTTTGGAGATTTCCCTTCACTTCCTGTCCCATAGCCAAAACAGGAAGTGAGAGGAAACCCCTCCAAAGTGAGTGTATCTCTGGTTGTCACTACAGTCACTGGGACTAGTTTCTCCATTGTAAGATTTCCCCTCTTCCTTTCTGTGGACAATCCAAAACTGGGGATTTTCTTTTTACTTTGATTTTCAGTGATATTGGTAAACAGGATAAATAAAAATTGTGAATCTCCCTAATGGGGGCACAGAGACACAGACAGCAAAGTTATGCCTTTAGTTATAATTTAATTAATTAATTATTTCCTTCCTTCCTTTCTTCTTCTCAATGAGGTTCAATATAAAAGTTAACAAATCAGGTTTCATTTTTCTAGTGTTGGCTAGAAATTAAAGATGATTGTGGCTGTTTGTCATGAGCAATAGCCCTACCTTTTTATGTATTAATGTAGCCATGTATTTAAAGAATAGTTTTCATGACTCATAATATGCACCTTCAAATTTGTATTTCTGCACTGGCCATGCAGTGGTTATGTGACTATAAAGTGGTTATGTAAATAAAACATGAGTTCCTGCAGGTGAAAAAACTATTTTTTTTCATAATGTCATAAAAAATTTTGCTTCCTTGACACAAATGATCACTTTTCTATATTTGCCAGATATTTTCTTTGAGTATCTTATAACTAACCCGTTCTCTCTAAGTCCTTACCTGATTTACAACTTTCGTGGTATAAGCTAATATAGACAAGTATTAGGAAATAGAAAATGAACATGTCAATCAATTCTATTTTCGTAGAAATTATGTCTCCAAAAGTTTATGCAATTTATTTTCATTGACTGACAGCTTTACTTGACAGTTGGTATAAAGGTCTATTATCTTCAATAAGTAGCATTGCCATCTAATTTTCAGGCACTTGTAGCCTTTGGTTGTTTTGTTAGTATGGTAGTACCTAATAACTATAATTCAATTCATTGGTTCTTAACAGAATATAGTAAATGGTAAAATTATATGAAGTGCTAATATTTTTTGTTCTTTTAAATGCATACAAATTAAATTACCAATACACAGTCATCATCTAACCACCTAGTACACTGTATTGTTTTCCAGAGTTTATTTTTGTTAACCTCTAGAAAACATATAATGATGACAGAAAAAAAGTATATTCACTTAAAAGCTGTGTGGATAGTTTTCTTAAAGCACAAATAAAAGTCAGAGTAGTCAGACCTCAAAGTATATGGGTCACATGCTAATAAAAGTAAACAAAATAGTAAAAAAAAAATATTACTGTTAACACATCATAAAAGTCAATAGAGAAAGAGGATTTCCCTATTGACTTTATGATGGGACTGTAAATAGGATAGAGGAACTCGACACTGGAGATGGACCCTCCATCTCTGTATCCTCCTTATTTAAAAAACAAAGAACAAAATCTAGATTTCAGGTACAATACTGTATGTATTAGATAGAAGTTGACTGGTATCAGGGCAGTATTCGAGCATTTAAATTGGAGACAAACAGCAAAAGCTCTGCAGCGTTGGACCTTTTTTAATGTATCTACTGCCAAAACCACCATTCTGGAGTGCAGACTCGACCTGCGGTGTATCAACCTTAGAAAAAGTACTAGCCATTTGGCCACCAAAATGCTTGAGGGAACACATGACTATACACCAAAGAGCGTGTTTGGTGCAGCACTTCTTTGAGAAAAGTCAGCAGCATGGAAACCTCCTCAATGACTCAAAGCAACCACTCTTTTAAAATTGTGCCAAAGTGCTCTTTTCCTTCTCTTCCTTAAGGGTTCATGCTATTTAATTAGTTGGGTCTTCTAATGCACCCTTTTTGTTCACATCCTGCTCAGGAGTGCAAGACGGCATTTTTTAAATTTGGACAGGTTCTTTATGTTGCAACTGCTCCCATATAAGCTGGATTACTAGATTTAAGTTTCTGGCTTTTTCCCTTCCTTCTTAAAAATGCAGAGCCGTAACTGTTTCCACTGCAAATTATCCTTTTTCCTCCTACTCTTCCTCAATGGCACAAAGCACCCACTTTTTGAACCTGCTATCCTCCTCCTTAAGGGTGCACAGCAGCCACCCTTTTCCTCCTTTTCCTCAAGGGTGCAGATCAGGTATTTGCCCTTTCCTGGTCCTCCTCCTCTTCTTCAGCTAATCCGTGGATTTTTATGTTATTATGTGAATATGAGAAGGAGGAGGTCTGAAATGTTTTAAGGCAGTGAACTGGAATATTGGGGTGCTGGCAGTACGGAGGAGTGTTGGGCCAAAATGTGGTACCTTGAGGAAGCAGTGCATAGAAACTTTTTGCCAGATTTCCTCTTGGTGGCCATATCCCCTCCCTGGAGGCATTACCGCAAAGAAGAAAACCTACTGCCATAGGCTGACCATTCCTCCACAACACATGGGGAGGGCAGGCAGCAGAACATGAGGGCGTAAAATCTTCCAGACAGAGGGAGGAACAGGCAGCAGAAAAAAAACTACGTGTGCAATCCTACTCAATAGGCTGCACATCCTTCCCCAAATCAAGGTTTCTATTTTTACATTATTTATTTATTTCAGGTACTTATATAGCGCCGTCAATTTACGCAGCGCTTTACATATATATTGTACATTCGCATCAGTCCCTAACCCTCAAGGGGCGTACAATCTAAGGTCCCTAACTTGCATTCATACATACACATACTAGGGCCAATTTAAACAGGAGCCAGTTAACCTACCAGCATGTCTTTGGAGTGTGGGAGGAAACCGGAGTACCCGGAGGAAACCCACGCAAGCACAGGGAGAACATACAAACTCCAGGCAGGTGATGCCCTGGTTGGGATTCGAACCATATTTTTACATATACTTTATATTATTTTACTATGTATCACCGGGCAATGTTTAAAGTAGAAATGTTCTATTGTGTACATATGCGTACATTGAGCATAAAGTAAATTTATAGAAAGATATTTCATTAGAGAGAGGGTTTGAAAGCTGGATATTTTCACCTTCATCTCTTATGCTAGCGGTAGTTGTATAAAGAGTCAATAATGGAACCAGATAGTTTGCTGATTTTTCTTCCTCTCTACTTAAGTTTGTAATGAAGCAAGGAAGTAAAAAAAAGTGTGTTTCACTGTGATAAAACATTTTCTGGAAGATACGCAAAGAAAAAAAAAAAAGGTAAACCATAATTTGTCTAGCCATGAAGGGCAACTAGACCTCAAGCAAGAAATAGTTATGAATGCATACCACCTTATCTGATGCTTCCTAATGTAAAATAAATAGTATATTTTGCTATTTGCATATCATGTCCATGAATAGCATTCCTAAACATTGATGATCATAGTGATGAATGATGATCTACCAGTGCTGATATTATCAGAATTAGACAATGATTGGCATGCATATGGCTTATGTGTTTGAGCATTTTCAGAAAGCAGCAGAGAATTTTCTGCTCACTGCACATTTGGACATGTACACATTGATTTATAAAAATAGTACATTTAATTCTGGCGAGTGTCAGGAAATACAATTTTCTTCAGAGCAGAACAACATTTAGGCAACAATTTAGATATTCCATACAGTGGAACTAAAAAATCAGTATCCACTCCATGAATTGTGTTATTTTGTTTTATCTTTGTACATATATCAACATACTCTCTCTCTCTCTCTTTATTTATTTTTATTATTATTATTTATTTTTTATTGTCACACAGACATGTATTGTGCAATAGAGGAAAAGGAATGAAAATGGAAAAAAAAAAATGACAGTGTGTGGGTCCTCTGCCCAGAAAACAAGCCCATCTAGAGGTGCAGCCTACTTACAGTATGCTGCATGGTATACAGATCCCCAGCCTCTCGTACGACACCATTACCTTAATTTAGGACCCAGACCTCTTCTAGGAGAGGAGACCATTTTAGCACAACCTCTAGATCAGCAGACCTGTATGCTTCATGGAATTAATCTTCTAGGCTATTGCTTGGCCACAAGCGTTCCTTGCCACAAACACCACTAGACTCTTGTAGCCATACTAGAATACACTTCTCACCCATAATATCTTAAAAACACTACCTGATATTTTATGTGACCAATGCCCAGGAAATGGTTTTGAGGAGTTCGCATAGCCTTTTACTGTAACCTTCTCTTTTCCTGCACATGTGAAATATCTGTTCCAACTCGAATTTATCCTCTTCTTCAAGGCACCCTTTAAGACACTTACATTACTCATATATCATTCCACATACAGTTTTCAGATTAGGTTTTTTCACATCTCTTAAATTAATTTCACAAAATTAGTGTTGCATCTTGATAGCAATGGGGAAACTTGAATTTGGCCTTTACATTTGATTGAGAGTACTCTCTCCAGTGGTCAATGCCACCCAAAAGTCCCATATGCACACCATTTTCCAATCTTTAAATTTAGTGGACATGTGGCAGGAAGTCCACTCCCACACTAAGGACTTTATTTAATTCTCAAACCCTCATAAAATCTTCAGTTGAACTGACCACATCTTTATGTTGCTACCAGGGGCGGACTGACCATTTGGAAACTTGGGCACTGCCTGAGGGCCCGAGGTCAGTAGGGGGCCCCACGAGATTCCCCTGGTACCTTTTTCATAGGCTTTTTTGAGTTTGGGCAAGGACATAGGGGCCCCATGATCCCCTATTGCCCGGGGAGCCCCATAAGTTGTCAGTCCGCCCCTGGCTGCTACAAAATTTGCCTCACATTAGTGCAGTTGATATTTACAACATATCATGGTTAGATCATCTTCTGCTTCTATTGTGCCTCAGAATTTCTCCACCAAGAAGGCTCTGCTTAAGTGCAGATTAAATGGCTCCCTAATCACTTTTTTTTTTAAAAACTTGCATTCAGTATTTTCTCCGTTACCTTGTAGGGAGCTCTAAAGAAGCAATGGGAAGAATAAATATACAACCTAAAACACCACTTGGTCTCTGCAAACAGGACATTAAACCATGCTTGCCAACAAACATGAAATAAATTTACTGCAGAGCTGGACTTTCCTATCACAGCCAAAGCAGAAAAGACACATCGTTGGTCCAAGCACAAATGCTATTCAAGTGATAGAGGAGGGGGGGGGAGGGGGGAAAATCTGATGAAATGAGAACAGCCAAAACAACTCATGACAAAACTGCAAAGATAAGAGGCACCACTCCATGATGGGGAGGGTAAGTCACCAACGAAGAAAACAAAATTCAGCAAACAAAATACAAAATAGCTTGCTTGTTCCTGTTAGTAGTAGCATCTACAATGTTGTAAAAGATAATCAACTCTACTTGTCTACTGGTTGAAAACCTTTTCATCTCCTTTAGGACTGACTCTTTCCCATTATCAATCTCTCTCTGAGGTCGTGAATCTCCAAAGACTCTCAGGGATTCTGCTCCCATTTCTCTATTGAATGTGAATATGAAGCTCCTTTGGAAAGTTCTAAAATCTTTAGTACATTTGAATTAGGTAGCATACATCCCAAGGCAACAGGCCAGAGACAATGTCAAAAGAGCAGTACATCTTATTCATGCAGAATATTACAACAATGTAAAATCCCTTGCTTTCTTTTAACTCTTCACACTTACAAAGCCTTTGAAAAAAAGTGATAAAATGCCCATGAGACTTTAGTGAGGCACTTTAAAACCTCAACAATAGTTATATAAAACTAATCCTTTAATTTATCAAAAGATAAAAGTATTTTTTCTTTACAAGACAAAGAATACTTAAAAGAGAAAATAAGTAAATTTTCTCTTCTCAGTCTCCTTAATATAGCTAATATATGATTTCATATCTTATTTCAGCTTTCATGTTGAAGTTTCACAAATTTCAATCTATAAGTTAAAAACAAAAATGAATAATTTGCATAATAAAAATTGCAGTATGACATAAATACTTTCCCAAAGGATAGATAAACATCAGTCCCTCAAGGTATCTCCAGAGGCCAAACATTTACAAATCAGCTTGAAATGTAAGTGTAAAACCAAAGCACTTTCGGATGGTACCCTCCAGGGGTATCTGCCCTGGGAACTGTGGAAATGGGCACATGGGACCCAAAGGTGCAACAGGGAGGCTCATAAGCGCAGGTGGTTAAAGAGGTAGTAAATTAGGGGGAAAAAAAGCTTTTCCTCCTGCAAGACAATGTTGTAATATGCTATTATGCATTACATACGAGTACATGATATGAAAAGTACCTTAAAATGAAGCCCTCCAGTGACTCGCTGTTACAGGTGACAGAGCTTCCATCTTCACCTGGTCTTCCTTCTGGGATTGCGGGCTCTGGTCCTTTAAATGTACAAGCCACGATGATCTCTCTCATGCGCATGTGTGTGGGAGTCACTGTTTATGACACAGGGCTCTGATGGAACAGCATGGATTCCTTCAAAGTGCATGTGCCAGTGGCTTCACAAGTAAATATCTCCTAAACGGTGCACTTTTAGGAGATATTTACAGTGCCTAAAGGTAAAACATAAACAAAAGCATTTCCTACCACTTTAGGTATCTCAATGGCCACTAGTAACACCAGGAACAAGTGCAGCTTAAACCTATGGAAAAAGATACAATAGTATACAAAATAATACAATGGATATACATATATAAAGATAGATATTTATGCATAAGGTCACCAATTCAATAATGTGAGGGAAAGAGAAGATGTGTGAATTTTTAATATGATCCTAAAAAACAAAGTACCCTTCAATATAAATAGAGTCAAACAAGATCTTCAATTATATAGCAGTAATCAACTCCTAGGAATCAATGACAGTTGGTGAGGTGAAAGTGAAAAGCAAAAACAGTGATGTGACACCCATTAATGTATTCAAATGAAGAATCAATAAATAAAATCAGAAATAGGTGAGAAATAAAAATAATAAAAAAGGCCACAATATCTACACTAGAGAGTTATACTCAAAATCCACTATGTACCATGTAAAAAAAAGAGAAGACCTACACTTAAAAATCACGTATGCAATAAAGATCCAAAACCAAAAGGATTGTGACTTGTGGACTATTTACGTATATCCAGGGGTCTCACCAACCCCTGCAAATGCCATGTAAAGAAGTACAGCCACTCAAAGCCAGCAATCTCTAGTCATTGTAATCATTACTTCATGGGCAAAATGGCTCCGGGAGGTGGCATGATGATGTCACATGCAACAACATGTGCACACAGTGTCTCAGCACAATGATGTCATGAACACCAAGCACAGCGACAACCATTGAGTGCATACATAGCACTGATGCATAAAAGGCCCGGCGAGACATCTTTCACAAAAATGCAGGAAATGGCAGATGCATGACCACTTCTTCAAAATCCTTCCACCCTAGGCAAGGACAAAAAACAAAAACACAAACATACAACAACAACTAGACAACAAATCGACCAGAAAGAAAACAAATATGCACAAACACAAACCCAACACAGAAATAAAAAACTAAACAAAACCAAAAAAAGAAAAAAAAAACAAACCAAACACAAACAAGAAAAATATAAAATAGAATGAGCATACACAAATAACTACTAAACTCAAATACCAATTATAGACAAGATAGATAACCAAAGAATGCAAAAATGGAGAAACCTCCAATAATAGGGACTTTTAAGGCACTGTGCTAAAGAACAAAACAAAAATAAACTATAAAATAGTTGTATTTATTAGCATCCATTAAAACAGTGGGCCAACAATTCCACCACTTAATATGCGAATATTTTATAAAATAACCAATAGGTCACATAGTAAGATATGACGAGTCAATATCCCGCTGTTAACGCCAATGCGTTTCACAGTCCACATCTGCTTCTTCAAAGGCTTTATGGGGGTCCTCTACAAAAACATATACATAACTTCACAGTAACAAATATATATATGTCTATGTATACATAACAATATTATAACCATGAACACACATTGTAAGAATATTTTGTTGAAACTCTTATCATAGTATTCAATTGGATCACAGAGTTGTTATTAGTTCAGAGATAATGATAAACATCGATGTCTGCCACCAGAGATAGACGCCACATCATATACCCATATATCCACCTCCCTCCACACAAGATGGGGAAGAAGGGAAAAACCAAACCAGACACTGGGCCACACAGAAGAAAGGAGGAGGCAATAGGCCCTGCTAGTGATCAGATGTAAGCTACAATATGAAAACTTACTCCATATTATTCAACATTTCATGCCTCAAACATTACCTTTTATTTTTGGACTCTATTCATGCTTCTGTAGGTTCGAATTTTCCCTGTCTTGAACAACCTTTTTCAATGTCATTGGCATTGTCTTTATTTAACCTTACTAACTACAGTATGTAACAATGTAATGTGGTGAAAATAACTGCCCAAGATAATATATTCTTCTTGTATGAATCCTATCCTATTAATGACACCTGCTCCATTATCAAATCTTTTCATTTTTTTGGGCACATAAACACCTTATCTCCCCACTCTTGATATTATTCTGCACTGTGGGCTTTTCTGTAGAAATTGAAACTGCAATTTTGTAACTACTTAGTTTCTTGATTCTCCATAGCCTAAAAGTAAGGAAAGCAATCCCCTTTCTTACCTCTTTTTCTGATCACTACCAATTCTGTTTTCCTAACAGATATGGAGAACCAAAGTTCCTTCATCTGGTGGACTGTATTCTCACACATCTATCATATTCCCAGTTTACAACATTTTCCCTCATGGTAAGGCCTACAACACAAGAACACCCCAAGGCAGAGATAGGTACAGATACCTACAACTCATATCCCTTGCTACAAATTCAGTTATCCTATACAAAGTCAATTTTTGAAAACTATTTTCGCTTCACACTCCATGCTGTCCCAAACATATATTTACTTTATACTCAGCCATGAATAACTGCTCGTCAACCACCCCCCCCCCCCCTTCCTATATGGAAGTTTGGAAAAAAGACATTACACCTCTAATGCCTCTTGAGAATTGAAGCAAGGTCTGGTCTAGCATAGCAAAATTCTCCTTTAACACCACTATATGTGAATCCACATACATAATTCTATTTCCAGTACCAGTATGAATAATGAAAGCTCTCCCATCCTATAATGTGGCTGTGACCAGAAAAGGGATGTTCTCCACATTTAGTGGACTTTCCCAAAATTGACCTTCTATGGTCAAGAGTTCTTGGCCTTGTCCACGCTCTCTTTTATATATTTATTCTAAAAGACCCTGGAATAAGGATTTTGCACCACCTAGTTCAGAATCTCACAGATATTCATAAGACGTTCGCTGCCTATCTTTTATATCATGGCAACACAAATGATAGCCAAAGCATGGAAGAACCCAAAAGTTGATTTAGCAGAAGCTATGTTGTGTATTAAAAATATTCCTTGCTAATGAATAACTCTGAAGCATTCTCATCAATTCCCAGTTCAAATTTGATTAAGTTTGGGAACCTTGGCTTCGTTATGTGCTCCCAGCTACAGTCAGCTAATTATAAATACCCCTTTCTTTCACTGTTAGCTCTGAGCCCAGAGGGGGTACTATCCCCTTTTTCACCTGCCTTCCCTTTTGCCTTCCACCCCTTTCCCTGTTTTCAGTTATCTTCCCTCTTTACCTTCCCTCAATCCTCCTTTCCCTCTTTTTATCCCTAGCCTATAAGAGCAATCAAGAGCCTTAATCTCTTGACATTTTCACAGTTGGACACCCTTCCATGTACTACAGAATTTGTATAGAAAGGAAAAGGACTGTAGACTGTAAAGGTACCATGGGGAGGTAGAAGAATTTTTAAGCATCTTATTTAAATTTGGAGGTCTAAT